CCCCAAAACCCCAAAACCCCAAAACCCCGATTTAGCTTAAAATGACCTAAAATTAACTTTAAAGCCCCAAAACTATTAAATGGAGCTTTATCTGTCAGAATCTTTGAATATACCATACAGTAGCCTCTACCTGGTCTCCTTCGTATTCTCAAATAAAGCGTTGTTTGTTGTTCTCACATGAGTGAAGCTCATTTGAACGAGATGGCCCTTAAATGTTTACCTCATTTAGGCATCCTTAACAAACCAGAAGAGTATTAGGAGTGCATGTTTCAATGGAGAGATACTTCAGTTAAATTAGATGCTCTAAAGTTCATGATAGAGCTTGATGTAGTCCTTAAGAGCCAATATAGGTAGAGTAATGGGTAGGTTGGCATATGGGGTTTTCACAGATTTTAATTTAGGAGACCACCAAGGTTACGTTTGCTGATCCTTTGGAATTATATGATGATTTAAAGTTTTATGAGCATCGTGTCGAACAGAAATTGTTAAATCTATCAAAACTGCATTTATATATACTCTAATTGAAGCTCATTTCATCTAAGTTTTAATTTGAGTTTCAAATTTGGCATTTTTGAACAAAGTTGAAAGAAATGTATGAAACTTCATCAATAAAGATACATTAAGAATCAAATTTAGAGCACCCATGTTCGAGGAAATACTCGATTCTTTTCATCATATGTTGAGGAGTGTATCAGAAGTTTAATGATTCTTTCTCACCTCGGATTGCAACTGAGTAGAGGTCATGCTTCCAAGCTTATTTTACTTTATTAGTGAATGTGCCAATGTACTTCTTGATATTGCTAATTTTGATCAAAGCTTGCCAGCTAGAGATATTTCTGGATACCCCAATATACTCTTATCTCCTTCTGAGGTTTCTCTTGTGAGAGCTTTTGACTTTCTTTGATGAAGAAGTAAATCCAGTAACTTCATAACCGAGAATAAGAGAACATAGGTGAAGAAGGCTTTGTTTGATATCAAATCCATTATGTTTCTTATTCGCTTTCGATCATTTCTTTTGGCTTTTTATCTCTTCCTTGCCATTAGGTTTCACCTTTGTTTCAAGCAAGCTCATTTTGAAACGTTTCTGAAACTTTTTATCGTATGATATTAAGTCGAAATCATTACGATTGTTCTGAACTTTAGTCTCTACAAAAGTCTTTAGATAGACAGAATCAATAATCTCAAAGTATTGGGACAGTCTCCTTCAGATGGTTGAAACAGTTAACTTTATTCAGCTGTCTTCCAATGTCAATGTATTCTGGCATTGCCAAAGAATTATAATTTGTATGATCACAAAAAATTTAAAAATGTCATTTTTAACATTATTGAGTTGTACTATTAATTTTATATAGTAGCTCCAAGGCTCCTTTGGAAGACTCCATGCATTGTTTAGTGAATCTCCAGAAACTTCCAAATCTATGAGCCTAGGCCTTATCCACCCTAAAACTTTGTTCTCATAGTTATTGATCTAAATAGTTGAGCAAACAAATGGATGTCTTCTTTAACAAAGTTATCTAAACATAAGTGCCCAACAATAATTAAGGCATATTGGTTATTGCGTAAATTATGCTACATGGCAAAGGTAACCTTGGAAAGCTTCTCGTGGCTATCATTGAAGACTCTTGTTAGCATTAATTCAGAATTGGCAAACTTCGAACGCGCTGCAAATTTTCTCCTCTCATTAGACATTTTAAGAATATTTCTTGTGATCTTTAATTCGATAGAAAGGTTTCATTTGAATGCAATCAATTCTTGCTTTTAATAAGGGCCAAGGCTTATGCTTTATATGCAGACTTCCACTACCGATTATTATTGAGATGGTCTATGATGAACCAATGATTTTTAAAGTTTTAATAAAGCGGAGAACGAAAAAGTTTCGATATTATTATTGAGGACAAATTCTATTTAAGTCAAATAGTTAAAATATTTTTTAATATAAATGAAAGATTGCACAAGAAGAAAGCAATGAACTTGTTCTTAAGTTCTTCCTAAGTTGCATTGTGAATCTGAAGCATGAGTAAGAACTTGTACTCATTGAGACTTACTCTTTTTTGACTGTAAGGAGCCAAAGAAAGGTTTTTTTTGAGTTTTTGGAGGATTCCCTTGGTAGCTTAGACTCGGAAGACTATCTCTTTAGTTATTCTCATATTTTACTACATTTCTACTCTTTGGATATCATTATCTCCGAAGGTTCTCTTGCTAATTTCCATCTTTCAGTATTGGGAAGGAGTCTGAGAAGGCTTTAAGCTAATAAATGAATGATTTTGTAATCACTAAAGTAGACATCTTGGATATTCAAAATACCCAAGATGCACTAAGCACGGATAATTTCCAATATTTCGCAACCAAAAAGGCTAAACAGTGTGAATACAAGTCAAAATGGACTAGATTAATTAAAACTTTCAAAATAAAATTGCTTTTAAAACAGCTAAGATTTTATTCCCACTACTCTGAGTACTATAACTTGTCCAGGGCTTGTTAAGCCTTGATCTTCAAGAGGCAGTCAGAAATTGGAAGAATTTGTCAGTAAAAACCAAAATTACTATCTTCTTGTAAGTGACGGATTCTTTTAAGCCCTATTAATAGTATTCAACAAGAGTAAGGACTCACTCCAATTGTCCAGCACATTCTGGCTTCTGGGCAAATAAGACCATAACTAGTACAACCTTGGTCACTAACTGATGGATCAGGTTTTTGCTGATTAAGACTATGACCAATGGATTCTTTATTATTTCAGAAATAATTCGAATTTTATTCGAAGAGTTTGATAAAACAGTTGAAGGTATTCTTACCAGAAGAGTCAGCATGTGTCTATCAAGGAAATCATGGGTTAGATATCTTAACGTTGTTTCTAGAATATCCAGAGTAGTGGCCAAGTTCCTGGAATCATTTTAAGGTTCACTCTGGGGAAGAAAGGAGAAGCTTCTTGAGATAGCGAGATTTGTTGAGAATACTTAATCTTCAAATAGACTTTAGAAAACTTTTGCATGAATTTACAGAAGTAAGCACTACTAGTAGTAACAATAATGATTCCTATCTTCTAATAGTCACTCTTTTCAGTTTATGATTGAAAGATTGTTCGTTAGAAGCATGATTATGTATCTAAAGAAATGCAAGTAAAAACTAGAACCTTCTATTTCTTCACTGTGAAAACCAGAGTGTTGGAGTATCTTAATATATGTTGAACATCTAATAATAATTATAAACTCTCAAAATCTGTCATAAGTTAATTTCAAAGAATTTTATCTCTAAATATTTCTTCACAAAGCTTACTAAGTGCATTCACTGATTAAACCAGATATTGTCAAACTTAGTAATCAATGTAACTTATTGAAATATTTCATAACAAAGGGAAGAAACTTTTGGAAGAAAACCAGCTCAGCGTAACCGGCCAATCTTCTGAATTTAGACACAATTTTTTTTGCATAAATTCAAATGAAATTCCTAAAAATAATACATCCAAACCGAGATGCTCAAAAATAAATTGACATTTAAAAATTCAAGTCAGGAAAATTAAGTTAGCAAAACTTGTTTCAAAGCAATATTTAAAATAAGTTACCCTCGATATCTGACCACAAGGAGTAAGAAATAATCAAATTAGAAATGTCCAAATTTCATTTAAATCATGACATATACAATAAAGCATGCTTTATCATAACTCTAAATTTAATCATCAAACTAGCAGCTTATTTATCTTGAATAATAGCACTATCCTTCATCTCCATTTTATGGAATCTAGTCATCATAAATATCAGCAAGAATGTCAGAAAATACCCTTCTAGTGATTATTACTCTTAAATAGAGGTACATAATGGCCATATACAGCAAAAGGCATAGCATTTCTATAAACTCTTAAAGGGACCAAAATGATATCTTTCAACCTTAAAATAACCTCAAGGGGTTTTGGGGTTTTGGGGTTTTGGGG